GAGAGAGAGAGAGAGAGAGAGAGAGAGAGAGAGAGAGAGAGAGAGAGAGAGAGAGAGAGAGTGTTGCGGTATCCTTTCAGCCCGGCAGTGAGGCCGAACCTGTTTCAGGCCGTCGACCTGACCCCAGTCTTGTACCGGGTTACTCCGGCCTGGACCGAGGCCGGTATATCTCTCCAGCCTAGGCCCATGTCGGGTTGGTCATTCATTCACCTTCACTCAACTGCCGCTTCTCGTGTGTGTCCATCTCCTCGCTCTTTCTCTCTCTCACCATCTCCGCACATGTGTCACGTTGGTATCGGAGCGGAGTCTCGACCTTTTCTCCCTCCCTCCCTCCCCCTCTCGCTGTCCTACCATCATGGATAGCTATCTCCAAGTCTGTTTTTACAACTGCACCTGGTCCGTCGACGCGACCAGATACTATCGTCATCCAAGTTGGCGCCTTTCCCCTCGGCGATCCCCAAGACGGGGCTGCTCCAACTTTTGTGGCTCTCCTACGACGCCAACCCGGTGCTGCTCCACCGCCCGCCGCTCCTACTGATTGAATTATTTTACTTTGCGTTCTACCCACTGTAAGAGTTTGAACTTCACAAGACCGACCATACAATACATACATAAAAGAAAGCCTCAGCATCGATCAATCCAACAAATTAGAATTGAAAGTAGATGCAAAGTGAGTGGCTTGCCGCTTTCTTTCTTTCTTTCTTTCTTTCCGTCTCATTAATGAAACAAGTGAGATGCGTTGCGTAAAGTCTCTGAGGATCCCAAACAGCTCGGCGGTCGCTGGCTAGGGCGAGCGGCCGTACTTCTTTGTGGTTTCCTGCTAATCGAACATTGCTTGGTTTGGTGACGTATCAGGATTGTGGTGACCTCGACAGTTTGTAGTTGGTGGTGCTGTGAGAAGTTCATCGACCCTTATCATTCAAGGGAAGGACAAGCCGTAACGAGGCTTCCGTAGGTGAACCTGCAAAGGATTGTTGTTACATGCCGAGCCTGCACATGGGCCCTATTGCCGGGGCTCGACGGTTGTTGAGGGGGCCCCAGGTCGCGTGCCCATCGGACACGCGCCATGGAGGCCCACTGCGGCCCCCAGACCGCAGGTTTTGATTAGAGGCAGCATTTATTTATTTTTTTATTTGCTGTTCTATTTTTGTCTTTCAGACGTCGTTTCGGACTTGCAGTCCCCAAGGCGGTGCCTTGGACGAGATACACCAGGGGAAGGGCCGTTTGAGACCAGGCACGTTTTGCGCCTTGCTGCATCAGCAGCATAGTCTGGATGCCTGGTAGGGGCCCAGATAGAGTGTGCCGTTTGAGGCCAGCATCAAGGGCGCGCCCAACCAGGCCCAACGCTAGTTATAGCTTGGCTGAGGCTAGGCACACACACAGTTCGAGTAGCTCACTTCTTGGGCGACACACTACTGGAGCAACACGCAATATAGCGCTGCATTGAAGTTAGAGGTAGAGGATTCGGTAGGGAGACAGGGCGGAGGTCATACCTGCAGCGTTCGAATACGTACTTGGGCGCCATAGCTGGACTTTACTCCAACGACGTGCAGCAGAGCGTACGCCGACGACGTCAGTACTTGGCAGCATATACCTGCAGGTGAGACAGTGAGGAGGACGACATCATCTTCTTCTTCTCCCATCTGCTCTCGCCCTCCATCTCTTCTTCTTCCGTCCTTCTTCTTCTTCTTCTCATTCTTCTTCTTCTTCTTCTTCTTCTTCTTCTTCAGAGAGAGAGAGAGAGAGAGAGAGAGAGAGAGAGAGAGAGAGAGAGAGAGAG